TTTTTGCAGTTGATCAGGTCCCTATCTCCGGTGTCCCCTTGGTCTCCAATTAGATTTAGAAAAACAGATGCATCTGTGCCGCTACCACCGACCGTCCCCGTGCAGACAGTTACTCTGTATTTAATCACTGCAGAGCACAATAACATAATTCATCGTCACTTACATTCTTCTTCTTGTTTAGCTAATAAGATTTGGATTGTTCATGGTGAATGTGGATATACACACAGGGCAGAGGCTCAGCAATAAGCTCTCCGGTGGCGGGAAGCTCTCTCACAACCTCATTATCATCTTCATTACTATCCAGCCACCGCTCACAAGGAAATGTATACTTCTCCTTCGTTAATGTTTTCATTAATGTTGCCTGAATGAATAAAGATGATATAGATTTTTGATTGTATCAGTTGGAGCTGAGGATGCTGATTTCTTTATATTAGCACCATTCTTGTGTTTGCTAGGCTAGAATGCCTAAAAACTGGCTGTTTGAGATTTTAGGATTTTTATGAAATCACTAGCAGAAATATGTATGGAAATGTCACAGCTGAGATAATTTATCTGATTACTAGATTTGAGAAATTCTCACCTTGCTTAGATGCCATCCTCCAAAAGGATTCCTCTTTTCATGCCAGATACGGAGTTTGGTCAGTTTTCCCAAATCAGGAAGTTCAACCTGTGATTTTAAGTCAAGGTAAAAGTAGTTTATTACTGTGTGCAGCCTCAATATCTGATGTGCTGATACTAATGTGTGTAGCACTGAATTGTTGGATACTTACCATAAATCTGTCAACTTGTCCTTGTTCAAAATTGTCTGTTTTGTTGTCCAGCCTGATCTCGTCTGACTTGCCCTTTTCTCCGTACACCTGGAATGAGATATCAGCATCGGTTCCTGCGCTGGGCAGGTCTGACGTCCAGATCCACAGCGACCAGGGATGCTCTGAGGAAAAGTGAACTCAAATCATCATCTTAAATTAGGACTGCCATAGCTTTTCATACCTCAGAAACTAATGGTGTCCCACTTTCATCATCATAATTTGTTTGTCACTGTGACTAAGAGCTCATCCATTCTCCCTGATTGCTTTGGCAGAGTGAAATAAAGTATGCTTTACACATTTGAGGGCAGTAGGAACATGAAGTCTCTGGAAGGATTTTTTGACAAGAGCTTAAAGATGTCAGGGGAGCAGCAGAAAATGCATTTTTGCTCATTAAAAATCTTCTCAGGACAGAAATTCCCATTTTGAGGTGATTGCAGCAGACAGCTCCCAACTGTGATTTTTTGTGATTGTGAATGGGCATGAAGCCGGGCAGTGAAGGAATGCCCACTTTACAAATTTATGTCGAAATAATAAACTTCTGCTGTTTATGTTTGTCGACCAGAAGAAAACTAAGATAATACATAACAAATGCAATCAGCGGTTACATGTCTTCAAAATAGATATTGGACTTAATTTCACTGGCAATTTCGCACAAAGCAGAATAAAGACAGGCTGCCTACTGAGTCAGTATGCAAATTTGTGTTAGTTCATTTAGTGAGTGGTTCAGGAAATAAAAGTGGAAATGACAGCATTAGCTGCCACCGCTGACTAGCCGTAATTACTGACATTCAGCTCACTTTTCTGTCTCTTCTGCCTGAGTGAGACCATCTCGTAGAGCTCTCGCTCTATCAGCCCATCTCCCTCCTTTTCATCCAGCCATTTACTGCATGGGAAAGTCTGCTCTATTCCGGTGAATGGGCAGTAAACCACAACCTGCAAAGAACGCAAGTTCTGTTAAACTATTTAATTGAAAATGAACACATTTTAATGCATTTAAGGGTGCTTGTGGAAATGTACCTTCTCGCAGTACCACCCAGTACTAAGCCCTCTGTTGTCGTGTCCAATGGTGACTCTGCTCAGGGGACTGAGGAGTGCAGCAAGCTCGACATTAAAGATGTCTGTTAAGTCCCGTTCAAACTTTCCTCCTTCCAAAAAGACCTTGATTAAGCACAACAGGGAAAAGTTTAAGTCTGGTTTGTCCACAAAGAAAGGAAGAAATGCTCCTATATATTTGTTTAATATGTGCATTGACGGACTAATCCTGGTCAAAAATGACTCCATGATTCCTCACAAGGTTCCTGGAGGCCAAGGTAATGTCATCCAGAGTTGGTATCTGGTTAGATACCATATTTCCAAGCTTTAAATAAATATACATAAAATGGTCACACTGATTACACAAAAAGTACATTTATTACAATGTTACATAAAAATGAAAGTGATGAACTTTTAACATTAAGAGGCAACCTTGGTAACTTGGCAAACGTGACCAAAAAAAGTTCTTTAAATCCTACAATGCCAAAGAATTTATAGAATAAATAAAATGTGCTGCCTGGGAGGAAAAAGGGGTTTGCTCTCTGTATGGCTGTGGCAGCTATAGAGAGTAAAATCAACCATAGTGGATTCATCTAATCTGTAATTAATTCGTGCTTAGGTGGGGATGGTTTGAGTGACAAAAGAAGAGTGAAAGCGGTGAGGCAGCACCTCAGCTAATTGGAGCCACTTGACTGGACCAGTCTCTCAACTCAAGTCTTCAAAATTATCCCTCTTTTATATCTACTTTAGATTCAGGTAGTCGCAAAAAATGGGACTAAATCAGAATAAAAAGTGCCCTGCATTAGACCAGAAAATCATTGAGTTAAAGAAAAACACCTGCAGAGACCCACTGAAGTTAAGGCCACTTTTAACATCTCTGTTTTCAAACGAATCAAGTTTAAGGCAAAAGTTTAATAAGGAAGATCTGCATTGACTCATCTGCCTAGATTCTTGGGTGTTTGGGCTGCTAGTCTATTCTGTCAAACTCAGTTCTGTCATCATCACTCTGGTCCAATTATATTCTTGCCCGCCTTCTGCGAGTCAGTCGGCCTCTGTTCTGTGCTTTAAACCTCATCGCTCTTATGTCATTCTGTTTTTCAGACTCCACCTTCAATTCATCCTGGCCCGACAGAGATCCTTATCAAGTCTCCACAGGTCCTGTCCTACTTCCTACCACAGTTGGACTCTGCTCTGAGATCTGGCTTCATTGGTGTCTAATTGCCAAAAACTTTATTTATTTCAATAAATCATGCTCAGTTCCTTAAAATGATCTCTCCTCCTGGAAATGAAAATAATGATTCCTGCAACACTTATTAGTAAAATGCTTTCTGTCCTGTGTCTTGTATTTCCTCTTTACCTTCCCACTGTTCTTCAAGCCTTTCGTGCCGTGCATCACAATGTGGATTTTGGAGTTGGTCCCGGCACCCCGGATGTTTCCTGTCACAATCTGGACATTGTACACAATACCTGATGGATACAGTTACATGTTAGCTTATCACAGGTAGTGCCAGTGGGTCGCCATGGTTCACAGCACCCGTACTCCCAAGGATATGAGCAGGACCAGATAACCCAGATCTAAACAATAGTAGTCTGATCCAAGAAGTAATGCTTACACAGCTTTCTGGCAGGGTTGGTCTGCAGTTATTCATTAATAGTTAATAATTAATTAAAACTGAGGGAAACCATTTTGTAAGACAGCTCCGAATTGTTAACTATCCTTGAAGCTGCCATCGTGTAAACCGGTTGAATTTTCTCAGGCTTAAAAACCAATTTTCCAATTTCATCTTCACCTGTGGGCTGACTCCCTCCAACCAAAACGTCCCTCTGGATCTTCCCATCATCCTCATCGATGGCAAACCAGCGGCTGATGGGGAATTCATACACTAGTTTGTTTCCAAGATCATCTACTATCACCTGTAGAAAAAAACTGCAATATTCAGTACAACTGGTCACAGCAGAAACTGCAAAGATCAAAAAACCTAAATAAAATGAGATAGTGGTGCTTCATCTTCTCATGTGCTTGCTCAGTACAGGTCACATTAGTGCAATGCTATGATCATTCTTACAGAGAAAGTTGCAGTAGAAGGATGAAATGAGGCAGAGCAGTCCGAGTTTCAAATTACAGTTTCTTAATTAAAGGTTGGAAAGCTGACTGAGCACATTTGTCTGCTGCTGAGGTGAAACATGCAAGATTGTCATTCAGTATCCACTTAGTGGCCGTTCCTTTCCTAGAGTGCTGAATATGATGTTGACTGTTTTATTCAAATGTGTTTTGCATGCGCAGGTTTCCTTTTTAGCATCCATTTTGTCTTTATGCTCTAGGCAAGAACTTAATCTAGGAGGACTGGACTGCTCTTTTTATGGCACCAGTGTTTTTGTTGTGTGTGCAACTTGCACCGCAATCCTTAGACATGTGTTTTTATATGATATATATATAGATATTTGTATCAGATTTACATATTTCTTCCCCTAAGCTTTAGGGGATTAGTCTTGATTAGTCTTGGGGGCATGGTGCACAATTAGTATTCCTTCACCTGTATTCTCACTAGCTATTCCTCCCTTTCATGTTGTAGCCTAAAAATCATTATTAGCTTTTATTAAGTAAGCATGCTCATATGTATCAGCTTATATTGGTCATTTGTCAATATATTGGTAATATAACAGCTGATAAATGTACATTTATGAAGCAAAGAAGAATACCACAAACACAACAACCAGCTAATCTGACCAGAATTGAACTTGAACTTTTTGGAACAATAAAAAAAAAGATGACTTTTAACTGCACTGTCATATTATTTTAGTAAGGACTCATAATTAACTTCACATAACAAATGTTATGGAAATATGTTTGTGTTTCATGTGTCTTAAAAAAATTTGATAAAATAGATAAATCACATATTGCTTATAGGGGTTTCAGTAGCAATGACAAAAACAAAGCTAGCCTCAAATAAATGCTCAGAATCTTTTAGTCCAGAATTTATCTCAGTGTAATAAGTAATTTAGTGGCTGCACAAAACACATTTGAAATGCAAATAGAATATGACTCAGTAACATTGTCACTACTGATCTTTGGTGTCAGCCTGTGCTGCAGTAACCAACAAATCTACCGACTCGTCTGTCTGTTTGCTGTAAGGCAATCTCTTAATGGGGCATGGTGTCCCTTTACACAGCAGGTAGAATGAAGACATGCGTGTTTCGCGTGTCTGTTTGAATGAACTCATCTCTCACTGTATGTGTTGGAGGTGCAGGGACGCTGGTCTCGGATGAGACGGCCGACAGGAAACAAGGAGATCACATGTCTTAAGTACGACTGCAGAAGCAGGGCAGCGGCACAGCGAGACTCTTTTGTTTCAAGATAATGTACAGTAAAGTCCTTAATGTATTATATAACAAATGAAAGTCATTTTTCATTAACAATGCAAACTGACAAAGGGGCATATCTTTTGACCATTAGAATCATGTCAACATCATTTTATTTTACAGACTCATAGGGGAACAGTCTTGTAAACAATACCTGTCCTGTCTGTTTATGTGCCTGTTTCTTACCTTCTCCACAAACCATCCTGCTGAGGAGCCTTTGTTATTATGTCCAATGGTGATCTTTCTAATTTTGCCCAAGTTCGGTGCCTCGATGGTGAATTTGTCCTCTGTGCCCTTTTCAAAGTTATTTTTGTCGTTGTCAAGTCGCCTCTCCCCTAAAATAGAATCAATGAATAAATAAATAAATTATAGCAAACATATTATAGTTTCATTTATTCATTATAGTTTCATTAAAGTGCTTCTCTTTGGATCAAACTTAAGTGACCAGATATGCTGCACGTGTTACCTGTATCTCCAAACTCCCCAAAGATGTTAATAAAGACATCTGCATCTGTGCCACTGCCTTTTACATCTGCAGTGAAAACACTCACAACAAATTTATTATCTGGAAAATTAAGAAAAAGTACAAAAAAGTCACAATTTTTGCAGAGTTTAAAGACAAACCTGATATATAAACTTCTTAAAAGCATGTCAGCTGCTAATGCCAACCAGATACTTAGAGGGTTTTATCTATGCATACATACATTTGGGTATGTCCATGGGGTCTATGCTGCCCAGCAGGTCTCTGATGTAAAGGCCATCTCCCTCTACCTTACTGAGCCAGTTATTACAAGCAAAATAGAACCTCAGATGAGGTCGAATCACATCCGTTATCACGACTCTGTCCAAGAACCAGCTGGGATTAAGGCCAGTGTTGTCATGCTCAATCCTGGAGAAACATAAACATGTGGATAAATTACATGTTCCTGGTCAAAAAAAAATGGTTAAGGGTGTTAAAAAATATCTCATGTCTAACAAACCGTATCTTTTTCAAGGATCCAACATTGTGAGTTCTAATTCTGAACACATCTGTTTTGGCCCTTTCGAATGCTGTGCAACTCCTGAAATACCAAAAAAGGTTAAAATTCAGAAGTCACCTGAACGTCATCCTCTTTTGACACATCATACTATTCACTAAAAAATAAATACAAACTAATCAGAAGTAAAAATGTAAATCTAGGAAAATAATTACCAAAATCATGCAAATTTTGAAAAAGTCATGCAGTAAATGGTGCCACCAATAACCACAGCACAATCTGATGGCTAAGCTGTCACAGCAATTTTTTAACACAACAATAAATACATACTTCTTTTCTGTGCTGTGAAAGAGGAGGAAAGACATCGTTTTAGTTCATATGGAAAATAAATACTGAAATGACATAGGGTTTATTTTGAACTGGAGGCTCTCAGAGTAATCACTCTTTGCTGTTTATACGCTTGCAGACAAGCTTACATCTAAACTCCACTAATCTTTAAAGGTGACTTACTTGCTAGCCAGGTGGACTTTGGGTGTGATGCCATAATCTCCAAAGAGAGTAATAAACACATTGGCATCAGTGCCTGCTCCTCTCTCATCACCAGTGATGGCAACCACCTCGTACACTACAGGGTTCAAAAAGAAGAGAACAATAAAACCAAGTAAAGTGTGAAGATGCATTAAGGTATTGTGGTAAACATAAATACATACATACTAGGTGACAGTGTGCATTTGTGTTTTAGTACTTCTGGCCTTCTGAAACTTATCGTAAGCTTAATTTATTCAAACCCACACAGATGTTCCCAGTTATGTTTTCAGATAAGACAATAGGTTGCCAAATTTAATGCACTAATTCAAAAGTTTCTCACAGATACTTTGAAGCTTAAATATTTTATATAGGATAGTCACTGTATCCAATTAGATGATTATGAAGCAATAAGTATTGCTTTGAACTGGTCAAAAAGAAATATCATACTGGGCAAGTAAGCCAAGAATAACACTAGTGGCCACATGTCTGACCGTTTGCTATGACTTGTTAAGATGTGTCCTTTTTTTTGGACTATATGAGGCATGGAGTTATCCACTGTGACACACTATCCAAGATAAAACATACAAATCTTATGATTATTGCTTATTTTCCTCTCAAAATTGTCCATCATTTTGGTTGGTTATCATTGGAACCAGGTATAATGAAGATCTATTCAAGTGATGTGTTTATCTGATGAAGTTGAAGGTGTTTTAAATCTAGATTTCCATTTCTTATGTTTACTAATAGAATTGTTGGGGAGGGCTTGAGCTAATCCTTAGACAAAAAGGGGTACGGAACGAGCAGGTTACTCTACGTTCTCACATCCACACCTTCAGCCAGTTCAGGATCACCAATTAACCCAACAAGCATGTCTTTGAACTGTGGGAGGAAACAGGAGCACCCAGAGGACAGGCACAACTAAGAGCTGCTATCATGACATGTAACTGGTTAACCTGAGTTTTACTTAGATTATGAAAAAATATTTAATGATGAAACAACACACAAGTCGAATACATGACAAGATTTAAGCTTAATTGTTCTTCAAATGACTTTTGATTCCACTCCACTACATCTAAATTAAATCGCTAAAACTAAACAAATCTCAAATATATATCTTTATATTTCTTACTTCTTGAAACAATAAGATTTATTTATATAATTAAATACTTTAAAGATAAACCTAAAATCCATGAGTGTGAATAGCCGTCTAAACACTCAAATAAAGTGCTAACATTTAAAGTTTACAATATTGTGGTGCATGTCATTGTGTTTCTTTGTTTTTGTAAGATGATGTTTCTTTTTGTTAAGTTCAGTGTGGCTTTGCTTTGGGTTGTTGTGGACTGGGATGGACGTGAAACCACCCCACGTAAAGATTAACGACATTATGTTCACTACGCCACTATGTCCATCCGCCTCATGAACATTAAACTAAGGCAGCGACACTGCTAGAGACAGTGAGACTCCTGAAACTGCAAAGATCCACCTGTCCTCTGGGTGTCGAATAACTTTCCTGAAGCAGAACTGACATTATATTGTCCTTGATTCTCCTGAATATACATATTTTACACCTGCTGCTCCCTCATCTTGAATTCTGCATTTTACAAGTGATGAAAGAAAGTTTACCTTTCTTTTTGTGATACTCATCCTCGTAGTTCTCCACTTTTTCCGGCTCGTAGGTACGAAGCTCTTTCTCATAGATTTCAACATAATTTTCAATCTTCTTCTTCTTGCCTTTTGTCTTCTTGGTGTCTTCATCACTGTCTCCCTTTACTGAACCTTTCTTCTTCTTGTCTTTCTTTTTCTTTTTCCCTTCCTCTTCTTCAGGGTCCTCCTCTTTCTTGGATTTTTTGTCCTTTGATCCCATCTTTGACTGAAGACTTCTTCTTTGTGGTTTCAATCACATCAGGAAACTTTTCTCCTCTCGTGCTACCCTTGGTTCTGCTGTCATTAACTTCATTATTGTTGCTGAATACTCTTTTGTCTTCTTAACCTGATTTTCCTTTTTTTTCTAGATGCTCCTCATATCAGACCCTGATTAGTCAGAATTACATCCTGCTTCATCCTTGTCCTTCTTCTTCTTCAGTCTCCTTTGACTCACTCATCTACTCATCTGGTGAAAAACCTGTTAGGTTTCCTCCACTGCTCTCTGACTTCTTTTTTCTTTTTTGTAGACATCTTAATTTATTTAATACCTTGTAACCGTAGCCAATTCCTGTGGCTGAAACTTGATTAAACTGACCCGTGACAGCACAGGAATGACCCACTGCTAGGACAAGTCTGACTCAGAGTTTACATAGTTTCTTAGTAGGTGGTTGGGGATGATCCTCTTTATTCATGACCTCATGAGAAATGATGAAGTAACCTGAGCAGAGCATAGGGCAGGTTCCCTCCCAGAATGGAGACCTGCTAGAAAAGTCCCTACAGTTCAACGGCAGCAAGTAAATAAATGAAATGACTGATACATGTTAAATATGCGTCAGGTCACTAACCCTGTGAGTATTACATGACTGGTATTATATTACGGCCTGTTATTAAAATATAAACAACATTTTATGGTTATGTGTTATTCAACAGTAAAACATATGTTGACTGTTCTATTCAAATGTGTTTCGCATGTGCAGGTTTCTTTTTTAGCATCCAGATTCTGTTTTCTCTTTATGCTCTAAAACAGTAAAACAAAATATGAACAGAGTATTTTTAATTAATTTTTTAAATTAATTTTTAATTAAGGATTTTTTGTTTTATTATATTATCAGCTAACTGCTGAACATTACACAAATTATTGAGTTTGTTAGAAAATCATAATTTTTTGTACAAACCTTAAAATAACAGGCTTAATCAGTTGTTTTTAGCTAATGTTGGTTTCTCTAATATGTGCAAGTTATTGATATATTTGACATGCAAACATCCTAAACATCAAACATCCTAAACTTTTAAATATCCTGCCAAATTCGGACTTCATATAATCGAGTGGAAAGTCATTCTTTCTCTCTAAAGTGTAATGTATTAGAAGTAACATGTAGTAATAGAAACGTCCTAAGCTAATGTAGGCCATTTAAAAAAAATAAAAGTTTTAAATTGATATTAAAAACAGATACTGCAATGGGGAAAAAAAACCCTGTTTTGTACGTGTAGTTCTAATTGCAACCAGCAGAGGGAGATATTTACGTTTGGATCAGCGTTCAAAGTGTGCTTTTTGTGTTTGCACCCACTCAGCAGAGGATGACCATTGCTTTTGTCATCCAGACTGACTTATCAAAAGGAGCTTATCCCAGCTGGTTTTAATAAATGAAGTTAAAATCACAATGTGCTTCAAACTGCTTGTAATAAGTAAAACAATATCTGTAATGAAAATTTAGTTTTAAACAAACTGGAAAAAGAATCTGTTCACTGCAACATAAGCAGTTAAAAAAAAAGAAGCTTCATCCTGTATTCATTTTCTGTCTGGGCAAATGTTTTTTCTCCATTTTCAGCAATGTTTCCTTTGGCTGTACAGCAGACATATTCCCTTACATGATGGGCTCAGCCACAATGAAAGCTCTTCCTCTTCCATGTCCTCATCTTCCTCCTTCTGTTTCCCCCCGCCTTCTTCCCCCAACATCTCATTCTCTTGATGCAGTTCTGATTCTTTTCAAGATAGTTAAACTCACTCGAAGTACCTAAATGTTAATGTTTGCATCTGTGAAACAGGCACATTAGTGTTTCATTACAGCAGTTACGTTGTAACTTACGATCACAGCCTTATTTAAATGGTTTCACATTCTGTGATTTGGGCCACTGAACGTGTCTAATTTTACAGCTAATGTTCAATTTGCTCACCTAATTTTCCTCATTAGTTGATGACTATGCAATCACAGCTTACACACACAAAAAATAACAGTTGAACTGTTTCTGCAGATGTATGTTGTCACTTCAGTGGCTAGACTATAACATTAGTTTGTTGAGACAGCTGTTTATTGACTGAATAAACACCAGTAAAATAAACAAAATGCATGTTAAAAGAGAAGAGAGATAATTGAGACCCACTCCCTCGCTGTGTAGTCTCTCAGTTGGAAAGCTGTTGGGTAAGGAGGCTGTTTATAAGATCCATATCAGTGAAGGATCCAGGAAAAGGAGTTCACGATGACAGTCCTGACAACCTTAACAAGCTCACTGCACTAAATCAATACAGATTTCTTTCGAATTCATTGAGAGAGGAAGAAGTTTACGCTACAGAGGAGCAGATCAGCTGTCATCTGTGTCCACAGGGGCCAAATACTGGACATCAAACTCAGCATTTATCTGAAATGTCTTTGAACATAGATTCAAAGAGTTTGAATCTCAGAGCTTAGTACAGCAGTCAGCCAATTACTATTGCTGCTTGTTCACTGGAGTCAACTAAAGGTCACTCATATTATAGTTGTTCTTGTTCAAGAAGCTGCCGGTTGGCTTATCCAGATAGAGGATGTGTGGATCTGTATGTGTAGGTGAGGAAGGTTGTCTGTCTCTCTGTGTTAGCCCGGTGATGGACTGGCAACTTTCAGAGTGTACCCTGCATCTTGTACAGTGTCAGCTGGGATAGGCTCCAGGTCGTCTGGGATGCTAGTTTGATTCAATGAGCAAGACTCCCCTCATAAGTAAATTCACTACCTTGTTGTCAAACTTCATACAAAATGTGAGGCAACGTTAATATCATTGGGTTTTAAAAACTGGGAAAAAAGAAAAGTGACATTATGCAGCAAATTAATAGAAAATTTCAGGTGTGGAGCAAAAAACCCCATAATAAGTAAATAACTACTGATTCGAAACAATATGACTTTAGTAAAATCCATTTGCCCTAAGCAAGGGGATAAAAAGAGTCAACCATGAATGCACCCCCAGACATGGAGATTTGACCATGTCGTGACCGGTAGGAAAATCCTGTAATCTACTGCTCAACAGCAACAAAAATAAGGGAATGGTTGCTGACATTAGAAAAAAATGTGACAAAGACAAACTGTTTGTATCAGATGAGCTGAGGCAGACCTGAGGTGGAGCAGAAGAAAAGCTTTATGTTCTTGAGAATCCATATCCAAGAGAATCTACTGCGGTCATCCTCGGGTAAGAAAGCCCAGAAATGACTTTACTTCTTAATTAAATGTAGGCTTGGTCTTAGAATTTTTGAACTTCTTCCTAAACTTAAAGAGAAGCAATTGAAAGCATCTCAACTGTGATGTGCACACCACACCAAACTAACAAGCTTCAGTTATACCTGTGAGGTGAGGTGTGCAGAGTGGAGCCTCCAATCTGGCACTTTTTAAAAATGTATTTAGTATTCTTTAGTTAGTAGCAAAATGGAGTTATATCGTGGGGGGAAAAGCATTTTGTTATGTAGTAAAAAAAAAAAAGTGTGCAATTTATGCTTGTTTAAATATTTCCTTAATCATTCCAGTGTTTGAACTGGCATTTAAATGATTAAAATCCTGAAAATAATGTAATTTTTGATCGTTCTGATATGGACTCAAGTTGATTAACTGGTTTATGAAAAGCAACAAAACAAAAAACAAAAAACAATTGTTATATGAGGATTTTATGGCAGATTTTTTGTGTGTACATTTTTGTCCACGAAGCTGTCAAAAGAGTGTAAAATTTGAGGAGGGCACAAGGGTTAAGGATTCCACAGAAGTTTTATGATGAATATTTGTGACTTTTTTATTATTTTATAAGTGATTAAAACTGTCTTACTGATCTTACTTAATTTTAAGTGGTTGCCATTTGTGTAATGCAGGTTGCTACTTAAGAAAACAGCTTTATCTATTTAAACAATTTAGAGTCTATGAACCCAAGAATCACAAGAGTCTGTGATATCCTTGACGTTTGTGTCTTTAAAAGATGAGGGTAGTTAAAAAAAGCAAACAGAGCATCTTTCCTCTCTGCACATCCACGACACCCTGATTCATTATCAGCTTTTGGAAATGAACTGATTGACCCTGATTTATTTTAGAGATATAAACATCAAGAAGAAATGTAAACTCTTGTGGGAGTCTGAAATCCTCCTGTATGTGATGTTGACTTCAGATCCTTTCGTAGCCTGTAGATTATAAGCTTAATTGGTTTCCCAAACTTCAAATGTTTATTTTCTATCCCATCCAGAAGGAGATTCGTGATAACACAGCCGTGGCTTCGCGACACAGAAGACACTCCGCAAAGTCATTCAAAACAAACACACTGGAGGGTTTGTGGGTTCATGCAGGATGCTCAGGAGGAAATGAAGAGGAAATCGACTTCCACAGAAGGATACGTGAGGAACACAGCACTGTCATGTTGCTCGGTCAGCTACCTCATTCCCTGACTGTGGTCGTGTTATGTTGTGACAAGGGGATCAGATCGTGGTGAAACCTAAACACTGATTTATTTGACAAGGACAAGGTGATTGGTTCGTTCTCAGAGCAACTTGTTTGTGTGGCGGTTATGCAACAGGGAAAGAGGTCATGGCTTGTGCTGATAGTATTATGACTGGGGCCAACAGGTGGCATAAGGAGAGATGAGAATGAAAACCAAAGTTAAAGGTGTCATGTTGGCAAGCAAGCCGGAAAGCCCTTTTGTGCTCAGGAGGGTACAAAACAACACTGTGCAATGGTAAAGCACCTAAAACATCACAATCGTGTGACGGCATGCTTTCATGGAAATTTAGAGGCAATCGGTGGTGCTACTTGATACTTTGGGCTTCCTTAAAGCAGCGATTAAACTTGCCCTTCTTCCAAAATGGAGGTGACATCCTGTAATATTTTCAGAGAATACGTTTAATAGTTTCACCTTTTAGTAAAAAGAAATTACATTAACAATGAACTAAATCCCTAATCTAGCTAATGTAGACATCAGGAAATTACAGGCTTTCTCTCCTTTTTAGAAATGCAGCCCTGTGGTGATGGTGACGAAGAAGAGGTCATCACAAGCCTTTCACTTTTCTGATCCCAATTTATTTTACTCTTCCACAGATAAAGCCAGAAACCTCCCGATACAACTACTAAAACTAATACCAATTTGTCGGCTCACCTGAAGTGGCAGCAATCATTGTTGAGAGCTCGTATAATTACCCATCTGGTGCTTTACTAAGTTCATTTTAGCAATCAATTCTACTTCGTGCTTAATCACTAACTGTCATTTTGTCTGCAACAATTAATGCCTCTGCACACTCACAGTCCACCCACACAGATGTTCTTGTTTAAAGTGGCCAATATTTTTATAGTAATGTAGCCCATATTCCTCATTTCTCTGGGGGTAGCGTTGCCCAGTCTCTGTGGGCTGCGGTTGAACATTAGACTACAGTTTCACTTAAAAATATCTTTAATGATAAACATCAACAAAGCGGGACGGTGTGCATGATACACAGTATATGTGGAAAATGATGAAGTGCTGCACTGCTAATGTACCGATAACGAAATACTTTAATATGCAATGAATTCAATTCTGTAGTCATTAAGTCATAACCCTGCACAACTTCATATTGAGCATAACATGCTAAAAGCTAAAGTTTATCAAATGCTAGTTTGAAGACAACGTAACAGTTTAAAAGGATTAAAGGTTGATGGAGCACTTCAGTGGGTTTATTTTAACTTCAGAGTGTTTACATTTGAAAAGTCTTTCACTGACTTGACTTATTCTTTTGTTATTCAGCGCTCTGTGCATTACATTTTAACCCAGCTGTGGCCCTTTGCATGCTTTATCCGTCAGTTCACGCCCCTGAGAAATAATGTTTCCCACTCCTGGTCTAAAGTCATCAGTGGCACCAAAGCGGCATTCAGCAGCATGTTTGGATGTTGGCAAGTAAACAAACTGAATACTTATTATTAATTATGAACACAGTCACAGTATCTGAGGACACCAGATGCAAGCATTTGTGATAAAAACTGACTTAACTTCAACTGATTTGATTAATGATACCGTTCTACAGCATTTCCTCTATTTTTGCATTGTCTTCACTGACAGACAGACAGAAAGAAACAAACAAACCCCAAATAACTCAGTTGTCATGGTTACATCAGATCTCCTTCCTCTTGACCATCTGCACACAGATCAAATATAAACTTAAAAGTGGGATTTATGACAGAAATTGGGCGAGAACATTTTTGAGTACAACTCACATCAGGTTTTATTTTCTCTTTTACAATCCCACTTAGTATCACAATACAAGCTTCAATCAGCTAGAGTAATCGAGGACAGCAGTAGACCTGTATATGATTGATACTTTTCACAAAAGGTCATTGGAAAGGTCCATCCATCTTCCTCCGCTTATCTGGGGCCGGGTCGTGGGAGCAGCAGCCTACGCAGAGAAGCCCAGACCTCCCTCTCCTCCACCTCCTGCAGCTTGTCTGGGGGAACACCAAGGCTTTCCTAGGACAGCCGACAGATATAATTTCTCCAGCATATCCTGGGTCTGCCCCGGGGTCTCCTCCCGATGGGGCATGCCCGGAACACCTCACCCAGGAAGTGCCCAGGAGGCATCCGCATGAGATGCCTGAACCACCTCAACTGGCTCCTTTCGATATGGAGAAGCAGCGGCTCTGAGCCCCTCCCGGATGGCCGAACTCCTCACTTTATCTTTTAGGGAGAGGCCAGCCACCCTTTGGAGGAAACTCAATTCCAAATTCAAATTTTATTTGTCACATACACAGTCATACACAGTACGATATGCAGTGAAATGCTTAGACAGCTGCTCGTGACCTAAAATAAAAGACTATGAATAGGATAGGAAAAAAATATGAAAATTAAAATAAAGGGTCAATTTAACTAGGAAAGAATAAAATAAAATACAAAAATTAAAGTTAAAAATAAAATAACTGTACAACAGAATACAAAATATAGAAAATATCTAAGAATATATGAAGAAATATAGAACAATAAGAGCAGCTGTACGAGTAATAAATGGTAATGAAAGAAATGTAATGTCCAGGGTTTTGCAATCCACATATTTAAGTGTCTTGTGCAGTGCAAATATGCTTAAAAGTGATTTATTTAAGTGACTTGTGATAGAGTGATTTGATTTAATGACCACACAGTGTAGTTGTGCAGTGGCCACTAGTGTAAACAAATGTCCAGTGTGTGTGTAAAAACCATATGTGTGGGTCAGTACTATGTGGTGGTGTGATTGAGAGACGGTATCGTCTGTGGAAAGAAGCTCCTCCTCAGTCTCTCTGTGTTGGTCTTCAGGGAGCGGAATCGCTTTCCTGACCTCAATAGAGAGAACAGTCCATTGTTGGGATGGCTGAGGTCCTTCGTGATATTCCTGGCCTTGGTCCAGCAGCGCCTGCTGTAGATTGAGTCATATGTGTACAAAGAGTACAGCAGGGGGCTCAGAACACACCCCTGGGGCGCTCCAGTGCTGAGAGTGGTGGAGGCTGAGACATGTCTGCCCATCCTTACTGCCTGTGGTCTGCCAGTTAGGAAGTTGGAGATCCACTGACACATAGATGAGCTGAGTCCCAGGTGCTCCAGCTTGGTGGTGAGTGTGGAGGGAATTATGGTATTAAATGCAGAGCTGTAGTCGATGAAGAGCATTTTAACATAATTCCCTTTTCTAGTGTCCAGGTGAGTGAGTGATGTGTGGAGGAGATGAGAGATGGCATCGTCTGTGGAACGATTTGGACGGTAAGCAAACTGTAGTGGGTCCAGTGTGTCTGGTAGTGAAGAAATGATGAAGTCTCTGACCAGGCGTTCAAAGCATTTCATCACTACTGAGGTGAGGGCTACAGGGCGATAGTCATTGAGAGAAGCAGGGTGGGGTTTCTTCGGGACAGGAACAATGATGGACTCTTTGAAGCATGTGGGGATCACCGACTGAGATAAAGAGATGTTGAATATCTCAGTGAACACAGGTGCTAGCTGGTTCCACCGCTTATATCTGTGATCTCGTTCTTTCGGTCACTACCCACAGCTCGTGACCATAGATGAGGGTATGAGTAAAGCTCTGCCTTCAACACAATGAACCGGTACAGCGTCCGCATCACTGCAGCTGCAGCACCAATCCACCTGTTGATCTCCCACTCCCTTCTCCCATCACTCATGAACAAGACCCCGAGATACTTAAACTCCTCCATTTCGGACAGTAACTCATCCCTGACCTGCAGTGGGCGCTCCACACTCTTCCAGCTGAGGACCATGGCCTCAGATTTGGAGGTGCTGATTCACATTCCCACCACTTCACATTTGGCTGCGAACTGTTCCAGTGCGAGCTGAAGGCATTCACCCAATGAATCCAACAGAACCACAGCATCCACGATAAACAGAGACGATTCATAAAAATTATGAACAGAATCAGTGAATCAGAAAAGGTAGCCAACTTAACCGGCATTTGTACACATATAACTAGTCCTCTAAACAAGTTCAAACATCTGAGAATGAAATCAGATGGTGGCGCTGGTTTATTTGATAGCTATTAACTGTAGTAGTAAGCTAAATGTTAAGCCACTTCATAAAATTCATATGAAGAAAGGTATTCATTTAACTTTATCTTTTCGTCTTGGGTAATAAAAGACAAAGTAATTGTCTTTTATTGAAAACTGTTCCAAATATTAGAAAAAATGATCACAAGTATGTTTTCATACTCTGAGCAGTTTGTGACTTGACCAGCAGAAACAAGAAGAATGTGGAGTTGTCAGCGTCGAAGCCCAGACAGAAAGACATCCTGGTCTTTGAAGATAGTTACATAAGCTTTAGTATCTACTTCAAACTTCTACTTAATCAACATCTTTCAACCTTCAGTCTGGGCTTCCTGTTATTTTTCAGCATTTAAGATACGGGTACTTCAAGGAGATTACTTTCTCAGGGTGAGATGTGGCTTTTACGAAAGAAAATGATGGTGTTTTGTATTTATTAGATCTTACAGAGGTGAGTGTCAGAAAAAGAGGTGTACCAAAGAGAAGGTCATGGAGCAGGAATACACATTTTTCCATTTTTCCAATGTAATGTCAAATATTTGGTCTTTCACAACTTAAATTATTAACCAAAAACCCCTTTATGCATCATTTAAAGTGCTGTAAATAAGTGTTGAGGTTCAGGGTGGAAAAGTAAAGTGAAAAAAAAAAAACTGTCCAGAAAAGCGAGCAGCTTGGTAAATACTGATTTATAAAATGTTAATAAATTCTGTAAATAAATTATTTACTTCAAAATGAAATCATCATGCTTAACATAATAGTTAGTATGAATTCTATGATGTGTGACTCAATCTGTTTATCTGCAAAAGCCTTTCTGGGTTTGTATTTGAATGTTACATGGAACTTGATCCAGTTTACAGAAAACTGCTGGACGACTGACACAAAGGTTCTGTTTATTTGGCTTTTTAAACTAATTATTTAATGTCCTGAAAGGATATAAGAATTGCATTACGAAAGCACTCCTTTTCCTCTGCGGAGAATGGTTTGGAAATTTGTGTGGGTGCAAAAGAGAAACAGATTTGATGTAAATGCATTTGCTCCACATCTGCACTGCTTCATGCCATCATTTCTTTGCTAGTTTTTTAGGGGGGGCCTGCTGAAAGTGCACTTAGAAGCGACATCTGATACAGTGTGTGCAAATGAGCATGCTTATACATAGTCTCTGCTAAAGCACTTACACAAATGTTGACCCGTGCCATCAACAATTAGTGGTCCCCGTTCCGGGCAGTTGAAATGAGGATACCGTTTCATTGCCTTTGGTAGAAGGCAATGAAGAAAAGAAACTGAACCCAAGAATCACAAGAGCACGAAACCTGAGCAGTGCGGGCAATTCCCATTTACACACAAATACACATAGAAACAAGCAAAAACCCATGCAATACACACTTATTATGATTAATAACATGCCTATTAGGTACTCTTTTGAGAGTAATTTACTCATTAAATACAGAGGGGTGCACTTTTCCCACTAATTTTTTGCCCTATTGAAGTTGAAGATTGCATAAACCTTTCCAAACTGGCATAAAATAGCAGATTTATGACCTGTGGATGTTGTTTTATTTCAGCAGCCTAAATGAACCATCCACTAAATCATGCTAGAATAAGCTACCTTTCATCAGAAGTTCCCATGCATGCTGCTGGCTCAGAGACACAACTTACTTAAGCTACAGACGGTTTTCAAATAGTCGGCTAGTGCAGCAGCAACAACAGATATTTAAAGAGCCCATTTGCAGTGATTCAAAGTTTTAGCAGATTTTTTGTTTGAATCACAGTAACCTGAAGAAAGCCAGATAAATTAAAAATCATGGTAAAATACCTCAGATCTGAATCACTTTACCCTGTACCATCATCTGGTAAAGCTCTAACCCAACATTAATATATACTCAGCGATATTTAAGATGACTTATTGATCTTAAACTGAAGTATGATGTAGTGTGTTGAACTGCCACAATTTATTACATCTGTTAGCCCAAGGACAGGACCATTTGCAAGGTGTGATCAGAAATGTGCATCCCCACAGAAATTCCAAAACCATGTGTTATTTAAATCTGTCCACTCGCCCTTACCACTAGTCTCCTTTGGGCGGCTTTTTAAAAAGTCTCTGTTCTGACGACTTGCACATGAACCTCTGCAAAGTACTCTGGATGTTCTGAAATATGTCAAAGCAGCACCCTTTACATTTTCAGGTATCCAAGAAACATTTAGCTTGATGAGGCCCAAAAAGTGTACACGTGATATCACACACTGCAGTCCAGAAAATTTGCATGTTCACAGTTTGACCCTAGGGGTCAAATTCACTTTGCAGAGCCATGTGAAAGTAGGAAAAAAACAGCAAAGGCGCTCCTGGCGGTGCTGTTTGTAGTGAAATTGTGGAATCATGACTCCTGGTCAAAGTCAAAAAGGACCTCATGAACGTGCCTAGGTTTCTGAGACAGGGAGCTGTCTTTGAATCTGAACAGCGAAAGTTGTCTCCTATAATAAACTGAGACATAAAGATTAAATAAATCAGCATGAATAATACACATATAGGGAAGGATAGCAGAGATAATGTCTGTGTATAATGTCAGCACTGTGCACATAAATGAACCTGGGCTGTTTGTGGTGGTAAACTCTAGGTTTGCATATTCTCCGTCTGCCAGCATTTCCAAGATGTGTTAGGCAATTGATGATTCTAATTGGGCTGTAGGTGAAGAGGGAAGATAAATGATGTTCTGTATGAACGGGTAAAGCATTTAGAACAGTCAGTATGGCTAGAGGATTGCTCTACAAATTGCAAACCTGTTTTCATTTACACTATTTTTTCTGGTGCCTGCTATGTTGTAATACCCCTGACAGGCTTTAATGTGACAAGCACTTCTTTTTTAAACCAAACAAATTCACAACAGTTTGTCATGTAAATCTTCAGCTTGTATCCAGCACAAAATAGCCATATTTTTAAATAACAACACTCAAGACAACTGTGAGAAAAACACCAGGACATTCATTCTCTGTGATTCATAACCACATTCGCTGCGTCAGTACGTCTGCCTGTGATTAATAAATATGTTTAAATATTTATGGCACACTGTGCAGCTTTGCTTGAGTTATGAGACGTTGAAACTTTAAAACAAATCAGGATATAAACAGGTTTAAGCTATCAACACTGTTTCAGAGCAACATTTGTTTAAAGGAAAACCCACAGAAAGAGATTCAGTAATTTGATTCCTGGAGAGCGAAGCAGTTCAGCAGTGAATATCTGGTAAAGCTTTTGAAGTCGAATAAACATGTTTGTAGTGATTAATGGTGCAATGAAACGATGAGGGGTCATTCCACTCAGCATGTAATAGGTGATCACAGGGGCTAATTATTATTTTAAAAAACAACAGAGAAATGTACTTATATTAGGTGACTTAAGAAAACAAAACAGCTGAGAGCTGCAAGAATCATTGAGTGAGGCCCCAGAGTTGGCAGAAACAACGGTGAGAGTTGGGAAGCACTGCTAGCTTCCAGTATGTGAACATGTGACTTTCTGTTGGAGCACCTCCCTGATGACCTGAAGCGGTGAGCCAAGAGTCTAGTATTGCATTTTTTTGGGTTAAACCACATATAAATATAGACACTTAATTTTGTCTTAATAAATCATTTCTCAGTGATGTGGTGCTATTTTAAGAGTTTGAAGGTTTTTACTGGCCATGGCAAAGATTTTACAATCTTTATGTTTGGACTACTGGGCTGGTTTCTGTTGTTTCCCTTTTTAAGTTTCAAATTTAATAAATGACTACCTGTTTGAAGTTATTCATTAATAAATGTAGTGTTGATAAATCAGGATGACAGTTCCATGTTCTTTTTACTCCTTCCTGTTTTATTGTGAATGTTATTTCTTCATGTTGTATTTTTACTTCCTGTCTTTGTTCTCTTCCTGCCGTCTTTATGGCTTATTTACACTTCTGTGGTGAATGTTGTAGTGCTTTTGACATAACCCATGTAACTGGTCAACACTGTTACAACATTGTTACCAGCATTCATGTTTTTGTGTGATGTTTTTGGCATTTTTTCCCTCCTGGGATTAATCTTTTCTCTCTCTAGCTCCCCCCTTTTTTTGAGGCAAACATATTTGTCTCTTTAGTTTTTTTCACCTCTTTGTACTTGGCAATATCCTTCCAGGAATTTGGTGACATCTGTCACTGATAAATTCTAAAACCGTGGTGACGAAGTAGCTGGAAATACACAATAGTACTGAACATCCTAATAGGTTAAGGCTGTATCAACACAACATATGGGTTATGTTGTACATTTTCAGAGGGGTCTGTGAATATGATGTAATTACGGTATAGATTTAACTTAGAAGTATGAATCCCCTGTTAATGCCGGGTTCACTGTACCTTATTACTTATTGCTAAGTTGTCTGATGGCTTAAATGGGTCTTTTGGTGACCATGCTCCTGTGACTGTCAGGCACATCATGGAGAGGATGTGGAGGTTTGGTACTAGGAGTATGTGCCCTGAGTAAGCGAATGTCTATCTTGACATGCTGTAATTACCAAAAAAACCAACACTTTTGTGTCAGATAAACAACCCTACAAGTGTCGATGACTCACTTATTTTAACTGCTATTATTACATTTGACCTGCTTTAGCTAATTTCCTTAATAATATGAAGTTTGCGCAAGCAATAAAGCAAATCTTGGGTGGTCTGTGACTCATCTGAAATGCACATTTGGAAATTACTGACTCTGTGACCTCTAAACTT